TGACTATTTAATTGTGCACCTCCATGAGAATGCTGATTTTAATCCTCACTTTTTCAACATGTTACAGTACTCTTTCAGGAATTGTGAGCTGTAGTTCTACTTCTAGATATTGTTTCAGCATGTGTGTGGAATTTATGTTAAGCATGAGAATTGTTGTCACTGCCTCCTTCTGTGCCTTGCTAAGATACAAGACACACAGTTGCATTCCTTCACATGTAAAACTGGAAACTGATTCTTCAAGCTGATGTTTTTAAAGTGTCCCATGTATTGTGTTATAAGCTGTATAATTCGATCCCATTTTACTGAGTTCTGAATACTGTAAGTTACTCCCTCCTTCTACATCTTAATTTTAATCTTTGCAAAGAAATAATTTTATTATTTCACTAGCAAATCATAGAATTTGCTAGGGACTTATAAACATGTGAAGTCAACAACCAATCAGGTTAGTGCAATTACATGCTTCAGGTAACCAGACGGATGACTGTATACATGAGTATCTCCTGATGGCCAATGTGGAAATAGAGTAAACTACTGGATGAAGAACTTTTATTCTCTCTTCCAATATAAAACCAGGAGCAGACTGTGGTAGTAAATATGAATTGATAATATTAAAAATTACCGGTAGTCTGAAGTTGGAAAAGAACAATAAAAGAATCCCAGTGCCAAAACAGGGTGGATCATTATTTAAATCAGAATTTAAATTTCAATATCAGTTTCTACACTTGATCTTAGCTAAAAGGCCGAGAAGCAATTTACAGCTAAAAAACTAGATTTTTTTTGACAATTTGAATAAAAATTGATTTTTAATTCAAATAAATTTGATTTTTAAAAATAATTGATTTTTATCCAATCTTTGCCAAAATATAATGTAAACAACATTTCTGATTAATTTAAAGTATACATAAAGCACTAATTTCAGTTGACCTTGAGCCAGAGGAAGTATGGTTTAAAACCACAGATTTTATTTATTTTATTTTATTTTATTTATACCTCGCCTATCTAGTCATTGCGACCACTCTAGGCGGGAAGGATTCAGAAAGATAATACTGTTAGTGGTGAAAAAAGCCTAGACTGATCATTGAAGAAATACTGTTAAAAACAGACAAGAAGGAAAAATTAAAAAGTGACAGAAGTAGGAACAGAATGTAGTTTTTCAGCAACAGTCACATAGAGAACGGCCCTACCTACGAACATTTTGACTTACAAGCAACTCCGCTTACAAAATTTTGCTTCGCATTGCGAGGGGAGCTTTGATGTAAGAACAGAAAAAGGCAGGGAGAAAAGGCGGGAAAAAAAATAAAAAAAGTGCCAAGTAGGAACAGAATGTAGCTTTTCAGCAACAATCACATAGATAAAAGGAGAAATATTATAGAAATGAGTGCAAAGAAATAGAACAACAATTGAGGAAAAACAAGAATTCTTCCATTTGCTCCAAGAAATAAAAGGGAAATGTAAACTTATATTATGGATGCTGAAAGATTGATAGGTGAACATACTACGGTGATGCCTCGACTTACGAATGCCCCTACCTACGAACATTTCAACTTACGAGCAGCACCGCTCACAAAATTTTGCTTCAAATTGCGAGGGGAGCTTCAATGTAAGAACAGAAAAAGGCAGGGGGAAAGGTGGGAAATTCAAACCATTGGTGGCAAAGAGGCTGATTCTTTGTAGCTCTTGACCCAATGGTCAGAGCAGGGGGTCAGGGAGCTTTTTTACTCCTGCGGTGCAGGAGGAGGAAGGAGGGGCAGGGCATCTCCAGTTTGCCGCTGGGGATGAGAAGCCGGTGCGCTCCCTGCCCATCCCTGGCGCGGGTCTACTCATTAGTAAGGGCCACTGAAGGAACGGGTCTACTCACGAGTAAGGGCCCACTACACTGCCGGCTGCCATCCGCCGGGGAGTGAGTGCCATCAGAGGAGGCTTCGATCTGCCTGATAAGGTGCTGCTTTTTGCTCTTTAAAAACTTCTGGCTGGGAATTGCAGGGTGGGTTTGGGCTGAGGGGGGGTTATGTTTCTGTGCTTTTTTTTTCAGTCCCAGCGTGGGGATTGCTCAATGTTTATTTTTTGGGAGGTTTTTTTTTGCAGCCTTTGGGGCTTGCTCTGTTTATTTTTGGTTGTGTGTTTTTTAAAGCCCCAGTGCCTTCCAATGGAGCTTTCTGTGTGCTTTGTTTGTTTGTTTGTTTGTTTATGGTATTTTTTAAAAATGCTGGGACAGATTAATCCCATTCCCATGCATTTCAATGGGAAATGGTGCTTCGATTTACGAGCATTTCCACTTACAAACATCTTCTGGGACAGATTAAGTTCATAACTCGAGGCACCACTGTATCTGACCAGGATAAAATGAAGACATGGAAATGTTATACTGAGGAATTGTACAGATGTGGTACAAGGGCAACAGATTCCTTTGAAGAAGAGTTGTGTAATGAAGAACCTGCAGTTTTAAAAAGTGAAGTGAAAGCTGCTGTCAAAGTGGTTGGAAAAAATAAATTACTGGGTGTAGATGGGATACTTATAGAATTATTTTAAGTTATAGAGACGGAATCTGTCTAGGTCCTCATAATGCTATGGCAACAAACATTGAAAACAATACAATGGTCTACAGATTGGAAGCAAACGTTCAATGTGCATTCCCCTGTTCAGAAAAGATGACACTGAAGAGTGCATTAACTATAGGACCATTGTATTAATTTCCCATGCCGCCTCTGTGTGTGAATCTCTGTCTTTGTGTCCTGCTCTGCGCACTGCTGTGTAGTGTAGGCTAAGACTCAAAGGAGCCTTGCATTGTGTTCTTGAATAAGAGCCCCTACTTATAGTCTGGTCATCCCAAATGATAAATTTCTTTTGAATCTAAGGGGAAATTTGAAATAAAGTTGTCAATGTGTAGTGTGTATATATTAGTGAAAAGGTCAAAATTCCACTGAATTTGCCTTTTATCTTTAAACTCTGTAAGAGACTGAAGGATAAAAAGATAGTTATGGTGTGATTTCTTGTAATATTATAGCTGGTTGGAAAGTCCAATGGTTTAGGTACGTATCTGGTTGCGGAGCCAGAGGCTGAGAGTTTGATTCCCCGCTGTGCCTCCTGCCTCCTCCAAGTAAATCCAGCCTGTGAAGCCTTAAGCAAGCTTCACAATGCTAGGGTGCCCGCAGAGGAAGGAAATGGTAAACCACTTCTGAGTATTTTCAATCTTGAAAACTCTGAAACGGATTGCCATAAGTCAGAATTGACTGATGACATATGATTATTTATCATTGTTCTTGTAATATTATATGTACATTCAGAGTTTGTGTGTCTTCTATGGAAACTGTGGCTTGTGAAGATGTCTTTGAACACTCCTATGGTCAGTACTTTTCCATTAGTGTAATTTTTAGCCTTTGTGGCTTCTTGTGTGTTACAGATACTGCACCATCATATTGCTGCTGTGGAAAAACTTGCCTTGACTACTTCTGGCTGCCCCCTAGTGATCCAGTGCAAGAACTTCAGGGTAGTTCACTTCATTGTTCCCAGAGAAAGGGATTGTCATGATATTTATAACTCCTTGCTTCAGCTTTCAAGGCCAGGTAAGGTGACTGCCCTCCATATCACAGTGCAATTGATCCAGAGGTTCCTATGCATTTTGTCTTAAGGCTGGACAGCTGAGCTGAGTCTTCTTGTCTTCCTCTCTTCTTCTTTTTTAGCAAGATACGATGAGCTGTATGCATTCTCATACAACCCGAAGCAGAATGAAGTGGAGAGGGTGCAAGGGTGGCAGATCATTGATCTGGCAGAGGAATACAATCGGATGGGTGTGCCAAACTCTGACTGGCATTTATCAGATGCAAACCGTGATTATAAGGTAATAAATTACAACTTGTTATGACTTATGTTGAGTGTTAGTTGTTAGTTAGTTCTTAAGCTTCTATGTTCTGTGTATAAAGTATGTTGGCTTTGAAAGCTGGGAGGTATTTGCTCATATCTGGAATCGATGACTTTCAAATTATCCAGTGAGTTTCCTTTAGGTTCCTGTGAATTGAAGTCTAAGATTAGGAGTCACACTTCTTGCCCTTGCTGCTAGAATAATGATGCTTGAAGAGTGCACCCTGCTCTTTGTCATTATATAATAATTCTATTTTAAAGCTGCTCTCTGGCAACTTCATTTCTTGCAACAGTTTTAAAGCTACTTTGCCCAACTCTGGTGTTAGTAGAGATGAGGCAGAGCAGGATAAACGTCAGAAGTTGAGTTTTAGTTGAAATAACTGCTTACATATCCCTGGTTCCTGATTTTTCTTCCTAGTTTTAACAAAAACTTTTATTAAATTGTAATTTCTGAGTTATGTTGAATATTTTATACCAGGTAGCTGAGCTATTTTATTTGAATATTCTGCATCAGGTAGTTGAGGTATTTTATTTTCTAGTATTCCCCCCACACACACACACAGACATACTCCAAGAGCCCGAAAAACCCACAACAACCATACTCCAAGTTCCTAGCTAAACAGTTTTCTTCTTCTGTATTACCCTTCTCTTATTTCAGAGATTTTCCTTAGATTGTCTGCCATTGCTTTTATCCTGATGGCTACACAACCAGCACTATAACTGACAAGGTTCCTCAGATAACAATGCATTTACTATTTTTTCTTGCATTTTTAATAGCTTTTTATTTTCTGTCCTGCCTATGGTAAATTTGAGTAGCAGTTCTGGTTTAAAAAATTCCTTTCTGTAGGGGCATTCATCGCTTTATTTGCACACTTTTAACTTTAGAAAAACAATATAATCCATTATCTGTAAATTGTCTGGGAAAATAATGCTGAAAGTATTGTGGAAATCCATAGATCAGTTAACTATTGGAAACATCAGGGTGAGAGTGAGAAGTACCCCATTTTATTTTGCTTTATTATCTATAGTTTTATTTGTTTTCAAGTATGCATAACAACTAGCATCTTGAAGAAGGCTTTTAACGGGTTTCATGAGGCAACTGTACAGCTTCCCCACATATATGTATTGGTGGATTGGTCTGATTGTGCTGGGCACTTTGGGGGGGGCAGGCAAGGCAAGGGCCACAAACTATCATCTGGGGGGCCGCAAATGCCCCCCAGGCCGCATGTTTGAGACCCCTGATTTAGATGCTACTGCTGTTCTTCACTCTTGTTACCATCAGCCTTAAGAGGAATGGCTAAAGTGTGGACCTTTTTATGCCTGGGACTGCATTCTGTTTCTCCATTCAGTTTACCCCAGGATTCATTTCACAGAATTTTTCTAGTGCTCCAGTATCAGAATTCTGCTAGATCAGACAATCCCAAATCCAGCTAACTGGCAGAAATGGCATTCAGACAGTTCTACCTGTGAGGCCTTCTCCATTGATTTCAGGGAGTGCTGTCACTTGTACACCATGTTTAAAATGTGTGATAATTCTTCAGTTCCTTTTTCCCCACTGCAGATCTGTGAAACATATCCCAGAGAACTTTATGTTCCCCGGAGTGCAAGCAAGCCTATAATTGTTGGCAGTTCTAAGTTCCGAAGCAAAGGAAGGTTCCCTGTGCTGTCATATTATCATAAAGTTAATGAGGTATAGTCTGATTTCCTTTCAATCCAAGTGGGCTAACGGCCATTTTCCAACACAGGAAAAGACAAGAGGGTGAGTATAGTTACCTAGGTCCCTAGGTGTATGTAGTTGAGCAAAAATGGATGATAGTGGTGTGTAATAATATGCTATGTCCCTCTCAGTTAGGTCCTTCTTACCTCTACTAAATTTGTTGAAGAACCTTTACAGCTTAACGTTTTGTATTGCAGTTATTCACACTGTTTGAAAAATCTGAACTTGTTGTTACTTTAGGATATCCTCTAGGAAGCTGAAATTGTGTTGCTTAAAGTAGTAGGTCACAACTAGGGTAGGCCCATTGAATTAGTGGGGATTTAATGAGTAGTAATCTGTAATTTCCACTGATTCAGTGTGTCTGCTTTAATTGCAACTTACTATATTACACAATGGGACTTCAGTTATTAGTCGATAACACATCTTCAGTACTGAAGTTGATTTCAGTCAGCCACCATTACAAATATACTTTGGTATATATTGTTAAGTGCATGTCTGTCTTTAAGCAATTAGTCTGTATCTGTCCTCTTCAATCTTTAGCTTTATCACTAAAGGGCAAATCTTTTCTACCAGTCACAATGGGAAATAATAAAATATGCTCAATATATCAGTTTTTAGTTGGGGAAGGAGAGTGTTTCCCTGAAGGCATCCCGTGTTCACACTCCACACTGTTGTGGTTTTACCTTTCATCTTTTGTTGCAGTAACAAGAAGATGAAAAGCTAGATTTAAAAGCTCAGTGTGCTATTATTGTCCCTTAAGAGATTTTATATTTCTGTACTGTTATTTTTGTGTTCATCCCTTTTGTCTTCTCACTAGGCTACCATTTGCAGATGTAGTCAGCCTCTCTCAGGATTCAGTGCCAGATGTTTGGAGGATGAACACATGTTGCAAGCAATCAGTAAAGCCAATCCTACTAACAACTATATGTATGTTGTAGACACCAGACCTAAAGTATGTACCTTTCCTTTCTGCTTGATTTTCAGTATTAGATGATACTTTAGTTCTGAATTGGGAAGAATGAGTTGGAATTACTGTTACCCAGAATGTGCTAGCAGCTGCATTTTCCCTTAGGAAAACTACTGTTACTGAACCTGCCTTTCTGTCTTTTGTATCCATTTATATTCTTTAAAAATATGTTTTGAAGGATTGACTTATTTGACTGAAAGCCTGTCCAAGATTCAGTGAAGTGTGCAATTAACTCTGTGTCTCCAAGAGTCTTTTAGTCGAGTGTTTCTCAAAAGAGCAGTTTTCTATGTGACATAGTAAGGCACATTGGAAATGGAAAATATTTTCAGAAGCAGATTATGTTTGTGAAGTCCTAAAGTATCTTTGGATCCCAGTCACAGCATAGATTTTGATAGTGCTTGTTCATAACTTTTCAACTTTTCTGTGGAACATGCAGCTACATAGTATAACGTTATTTCCTCCCTATGTACAAACACAAGATGAAGTGTTACCCACTGTAATGAATTGAGATTCAGCAGAGCTAGTGGCTTGCCTTTGTTAGGAGAGGTTACGAAGACAAGCAGAACGGCTATATGGTCCGGAAATCATGTAATATGAAGGCTATAATATAGTTCTCACTCCCAATTAAGCACTGTTCTGGATGCAAAAATAAATAATAATTTTTAAAGGATTTTTTTTGCTTATTTCACCTTCCCCTCCCCCCCCCCAGCTGAATGCAATGGCAAACAGAGCAGCAGGTAAAGGCTATGAAAATGAAGATAATTATTCCAATATTAGATTCCAATTTGTTGGTATTGAAAACATCCATGTAATGAGGTCCAGCCTGCAGAAACTATTGGAAGGTATGTGTATAGGTGTTTGTAAGTGATATAAAGGAGCTGAAATAAGAACAATGATGCTCATGTAAAAGTCTCTTTCTAAAGGACTTCTTGGAGAAAGCAATGAATCAGTGTGCAAAATCTTATTACTCTGGCATAAATTGCATCTGGGTGCTGGAAATAATTAATTTAAAGGAATTGAAAGCTTCCTGTCCCAGCCTCCCTGATTTAGAGGCTTGCTATGGCTCCCTTCTGCTTTGGAGAAGCATTTGGGAGCCTTGGAATGTTGGTAGAGAGCCTTTAATAGAAATCATTGCTAGATTACCACCACTGTGATTAGAACTGCCGCTGGTGATCTGGTGGCAATTGTTTTACTATCAAAGCTTCCCCACTCACCCCTTTTCCAGGGCTCCCAAAGGCTTCCTGAAGAAAAAGGGGAGCGCTCGGGAACCTTGAAACCTGGAAGTGGAGGGGATAGGAAACTCAGTGAGATGGGGCTGCAGGCAAGGAACTGCTCACCCATCACTCAGGGGGCAGGAAAGGAAGGAAACATTAAAAAGAAAGGAGAAGGGGGTTGGACACAAAAAGTTTGTTGGACACTGGCAAGGGTGGGTGGAATGGCAAAACGAGAACGTAGTTCTACTGTTTGACTGTTAATAAGCCTAAAGCTCAGATAAATTATGTGATCACCAAGCCACAAAAAGGAAGACAGAACAAAGCGGAGCAACTGTTATGTCTAGAAGACTGCTTATAAAGGCTTCTGTTTATACTGCGCAAACTGAAGGTTAGGCAACCTTTGTGAGTTGCTGTGAGCCCCAGCCATCTATTTGAATTGAGGAAATATGTTTGCTGAACAGAATAGGCATCTGTTTCACCGACAGCAAGTGCTTATTTATATAATCAGAACATTTGTATTGATTTCAGTGTCTTTTTTTAAAAAGAAATCAACATCTTGTGATCTTGTTTTGGTATCCTAGTAATTGTAGCTTGTTATTGTCACTTAAATTTTACACATGAGAATTTAAGCTCTCATGAGCTTATTCCATCCATTTGAACAATGCTTGTAACATACCGATTGCTCAAAGTGGGAGTAAAAGCCACTTCTGGTGGCAGTTGTAGTTGCCGGAGCTAACTTGATGTTTCCCAGAGTAAATGGCTACTTTTAAAAGAGCAGGTAAGTTAGTTAACAAGATAAACCTAGGGCAGCAGCTCCCAACCTTGGGGAACCCAGGTGTTCTTGGGCCACAATTCCCAGAAGCTCTTACCACCAGAGTTTCTGGGAGCTGCAGTCCAAGGTAGGGAACCCCTGATCTATGAAATCTAATATGTAACTGAATACTTAGTTTGATCAGAACATTAAGAACACACAAAGAGACCATTTTGTGATGAATGTACCCCTTTAAAGTAAGGATGTAATTAAAGAATTAAACTGCCTTTTTGAAGGGACAGTTTACAGATTGCCACCGCATACATGGTCAGCAGATAAATGGGACACTGGAGGGGTGGAATGCACTTTCCACAATTGCTGGCAGCTGTGTGAACACACCCATTGCTTCCTACCCAAGAACTCCCTTTTTTTGCTCCATGAAACTTATTCAAGCTCCCAGCAACACAGATAATTTAAGATCATCATCTGATAAATGCTTGTGTCATGTTGATAAATGGGGGTAAGGACAGATCTACTTATATTTGGCAAGTCTCAAAATTTTCCATTCTTTTCATGGTGTTCTCTGTGCATCACACTTCCAGGTTTTGTGCATGCTCAAAGTCTTCACTTTGTTAATTTTTAATCCCTTTGGAACAACATGCCATTTGTGTTTAACAACTAAATTTCTTCTCTTTTTAGTCTGTGGGACAAGAGGGCTGTCAGTCAACGACTTTCTGTCCGGTTTGGAAAGCTCTGGTTGGCTGCGACACATCAAAGCCGTTTTGGATGCTGCCATCTTCCTATCCAAAGTAATTATTAGCATCCTTTAGTTTAGGGGAAATGGTGAATGCCAATAATACATGCCAGGAAATTCAACTCTTAGTTTGCATGCTTTATTATTTTCTAGGCTTTTTACCTGTACCCCAGCCACACCTGTCTTCATTCTGTCTTACTACTGAAATAATTTAGAACTTGGAGTATTCCAGGAGGTTCTGCACTCTATCATGTTCAGAGTTCCCATTCTTCCAGTTTGGAATGGGACTGTAGCTCAGTAGCAGAACATATGTTCTGCTTACAGAAAGACCCAGTTTCAGTCTCTGTTTAATAAAAGGATTTGGTAGTGGTGACATCTCCTTCATGGATTGCTGCCTTGTCATGGTGAAGGGACTTGAGTAATTTAGAGAAGCTGTGGGCTATGCTGATCCCTTCGTGTCCTTACCATCCCCCAAACAGAAGTACCAAAGAGATGTGTGCTTGTTGTAAATAAAATCTCTACTTTATGTTTTAAAAAAATTCACCATGGTGCCAGATGTCAATTCATTGTAAATAATAAAAGTACCAATGCTAACCCCTTCACGGATTGCTGCCTTGTCGTGGCGAAGGGGCTTGAGTAATTCAGAGAAGCTATGCAGGGACACCTAAGATGAACAGTTTATAGTGGAGAATTCCGACTAAACGCGATCCACCTGGAGCAGGAACTGGCAAGCCACTCCCGTATCTTTGCCAAGAAAACTCCATGGGCAGAAACAAAAGGCTAAAAGATATGACGCTGTAAGATGAGCCCCTCAGGTCAGAAGGCGTCCAATATGCTACTGAGGAAGAGTGGAGGACAAGTACAAGTAGCTCCAGAGCTAATGAAGTGGTTGGGCCAAAGCCGAAAGGACGCTCAACTCTGGACGTGCTTGGAAGTGAAAGGAAAGTCCGAAGCTGCAAAGAAAAATACTGCATAGGAACCTGGAATGTAAGATCTATGAACCTTGGTAAGCTGGATGTGGTCAAACAGGAGATGGCAAAAATAAACATGGACATCCTGGGCATCAGCGAACTAAAATGGATGGGAATGGGTGAAATCAATTCAAACAATTATATGTATTCTAGGCAAGAATCCTGTAGAAGAAATGGAGTAGCCCTCATAGCCAGCAAAAGAATGGGAAAAGTTGTACTGGGATACACAATATGAATCTAAGGCAGACCTTTCAACATCACAGTAATCCAAGTTTATGCACCAACCACCGATACTGAAGAGGCTGAAATTGACCTGTTCTATGAAGACTTACAACACCTTCTAGAACTGACACTAAAGAAAGATGTTCTTATGATAGGGGACTGGAATGCTAAAGTAGGGAGTCCAGAGATAAAAGGAACAACAGGTAAGTTTGGCCTTGGAGTTCAAAATGAAGTAGGGCAAAGGCTAATAGAGTTTTGTCAAGAGAACAAGCTGTTCATCACAAACACTCTTTTCCGTCAACACAAGAGGCGACTCTACACATGAACATCACCAGATGGGCAATACCGAAATCAGATTGATTGTATTCTCTGCAGCCAAAGATGACGAAGCTCTATACAGTCAGCAAAAACAAGACCTGGAGCTGATTGTGGCTCTGATGATCTTCATATAGCAAAATGCAAGAGTAAACTGAAGAAAGTAGGAAAAACCACTGGGCTAGTCAGGTATAATCTAAACCAAATACCTTATGAATACAGAGTAGAAGTGAAGAACAGATTTAAGGAACTAGATTTGGTGGATAGAATGCCTGAAGATCTATGCATGGACACTCGTAACATTGTACAGGAGGCAGCAACAAAAACCATCCCAAAGAAAAGAAAAGGCAAGAAAGCAACGTGGCTGTCGAACGGGTCCTACAAATAGCAGAGAAGAGAAGGGAAAGAAAATGCAAAGGAGATAGCGGAAGTTACAGAAAATGGAATACAGATTTCCAAAGAATAGCAAGGAGAGACAAGAGGGCCTTCTTAAATGAACAGTGCAAAGAAATAGAGGAAAATAATAGAAAGGGAAAAACCAGAGATCTGTTCAAGAAAATTAGCTGCAATCTGTTGGCACAACTAGAGCAGATCCAAGTTAAGACAGCACTAGGAGGCAGTGTTCAGAGGCTCAGGTGAGACAGGGAAGAGGCTATGTATTTGAACCATTTGTTGTCGTCTCTGTGGCACATGCAAGTTAAGTCTTCTCATTTTCACAGGCCATAGCTTTTGAGGGTGCAAGTGTACTTGTACATTGCTCTGACGGTTGGGACCGGACGTCTCAAGTGTGTTCCCTGGGATCTGTACTGTTGGATCCATTTTACAGAACAATTAAGGGATTCATGGTGAGTATCAAAAGAACATGAAGTTGCTTTTAGTAGATGCATGCTAGAATACATATAGATTGGAAAACATGATGTTGCTCAGAGAGAGTTTCTTGGAATATATGTTGCAAATTAAGGTGGAATTTTTCAAATGAAAGCAAGCAAAAACAAAGGTCTGTTTTATGCTATATGTGGAAAAGACCCAAATTCAGATAAAAAAAGCTTTATGTCAGTAGGACACAGGTTGCACTTGCACTTTAAAATTATTATGGATTCCGGTATCATCTTAGAAAAATCCAGTTGTTCTGTTTATTCCTTAGTGAACAGGAAATAGAGGTCCCACTGTACAAGAAAATGCTGCTTTTATTCTTGTCCTTATTTTAAGTACTAAACGTGTTGGTTCAACTGGTTGTATTTTTTTGCTTTGCAACTCTTAATTGTAGATAGAAGTGTATTATATATTTTGAGTTGGGGTTCTTCTGGATTCTGCTCTAGCAGTCTAGTTCAGAAAGCCAACATGGGAAATGTGACCTCAGAGATACTATGTAAAGCTTACTGTAAAGTGGATAACGTATTCCCCCGCCCCCAGGTTTTGATAGAAAAAGACTGGATTGCTTTTGGACACAAATTTTCAGACAGGTAAGATGTCTTGTTACAAAGATATTGTGTTAAACTGCTTAATGAATTGTGGTTCATCTTGTTTAATATCTAATGTATATATTTGCATAAAACTATACAGATTTGTAAAACAACAATCTTAAAGTATGATTTTTTTCTGTCATTAACATTGAATATATTTTATAGATGTGGTCAACTGGATGGTGACCCAAAGGAAATCTCACCAGTGTTTGCCCAGTTTTTAGAAAGCGTCTGGCATCTGACAGAGCAGTTTCCCCAAGCTTTTGAGTACAATGAAGCTTTTCTCCTTCAGATCCACGAACACGTCCATTCCTGCCAGTTTGGAAACTTCATTGGAAACTGCCAGAAAGAACGGGAAGAACTCAAGTAGGGCTTCTTATTAGCAATCTGTTATTCGCAGTGCAGCATCTCCCATTTTCCCCGAGATGAATGAATTAGACAGCCTGCCTATGTCTAATATTTAGACATTAGGTAACATTTGGAGGAGAGCAAGCTTTGCTCATTTAGAAAACAGCGAGTGCGTCAGATCCTTCCTGAGAGTGTATTTCTTTGGGAGAGGGGTAGGAAATTTGTGATTCTTCAGATATTATTGGATTGCAACTCCTGCCATCCCATACTGTTGACTAGTTGGAATTTCAGTGTAGCAGTGTCTTGATGGCTTCATGGACCCCATCCCTGCTCCAGGAAGAGAGAATCTTAGTAGTTGCCCCCCCCCATATATTCCATTTAAATGATTTAAGTTGTCTTCCAAAGCAATAAAGAAGCACATGTGTTTGATTCTGTTGTCCCTCTTCCACATTGGGGAACTGAGGAAACAGCATTGTGGGGAAGGAGTGTGTGAAGAGACCAGTTAAAAGAAAACCGGTTGTGGCACTGTGACCGCAATTCAGTCTGCTTTAAGATCATAGTTCTCCACATCATTGTAATTTCAAAAAAGAAGCAGCAATTCTGATCCATAGGAATGTAACACAATCCAAATCATGTGTAGTTTGCCACTGAGATCTTTCCTTTTTTCATATCAGAGTACAGTATTACACAATTTAAAATTATGTAAGTATATGAAATATAGGTCAAATTAAAAACAAATTAAAATATGAAGATTGTTAGATCTTTTGACCAGAAGTTGTCTTTTTCAAGAGCCTTATTTTAGCCATTTGCTCAGTCTTCTTTTGTACACGTGCTGGGGCATAAATTGCATGTACATGTGCTGCATTGATAGAATTTCTCCATAGTCACGGAACATTTGCCCTGTATCCAAGTAGGTAGCCCCATTTTACTTCATTAGTTTTTGATCTTCTTACTTCACTTCAAAGTCTGTTAAGTGACTTCCAGATGATCCAGCTAGAGTCTTGTCCAGGTGGGATTCATTCTTTAGCATTCATCCATTTGGCAAGGTGTGCTATTTTTGTCTCTTCTGGTTTAATATTTAGAGCTTGAGATGTGTGCAGAAGATTTCCTCGATTTTAGCCATTGTCTAGGTGCTGGTGTCCATGAAATGGATGACTTTGCTGCTGTATTATAATGTACTAAAATGATAGTAACTAATTAAGAGTTCTTTTTACCTTGAGGCTTAAAGAGAAGACTTATTCACTGTGGCCTTTCCTTCTGGATGAACACCAGAAATATCTAAACCCTTTCTACAATGAGAGTTTTTCTCAGTCACTTACAGTCATGGAACCTGACACAATATCCTTTAATTTTAAGTAAGTATGTACATTACACAGTATTTTTTTTTCTATGCCATCAATCATAGTGGTGTAATAAAATGACAATGTTGTTGGCATCTACAGGTTTTGGAGAAATATGTATCACCAGTTTGATCACACAATGCATCCAAGGCAGTCTATCCTCAAACATGTCATGACCCTGAGTGAACAAAACAAAATTATGGAGAAAGAAATTAAGGAACTGGAAGCTGTGAGTATTAGCAAATAACTGTTTTTTTTATTTTAGATTCTGACATAGAACTGCTTTCTTCTGAAAATGTCCTTCCTTTGTTATAGGCTACATCCCATATATTCCTTTGAAAATAATCATTTTCTCTCTATTGTTTTGAACTTCTTGAGTTTTTTTGTTATTGGTAACAGAAAGTTAGCACTTCACCACTGAGCCCATTCAAGAATACCTGCACACAGCTTGACTGGAAAGAATCAGGGAGTGCTTTCCACTAAGGCAAGGATGGGTTGTGTATATGGCCAAATAAATCCATCATTTTTGGCCAGCATACGCAATAATAAAGGATGATTGGTTATGTGTGGCTTTCTAGATATTGGTGGACTGCAATGCCCATCATACTTAGCCAGCATAGTAATTGGTGAGGGATGATGGGGGTTGGAGTCCAACAGTATGCAAAGGGTTGCACTTTCCCCTCTCCCACACAAGATCCTTTTTTCATTCTGCATTCAATCAAGCCATATTAGCCCATATTTTAGAACACACTTCGTGTGTTCAGGTTTATTTTTTCGCTGCTATAGGATTCATTTCTATAGCTGCTAGCAGATTACCTGGGCAGTTACCTAGGGATGCTGTCCACAACACATGAGAAGCAAAATTATTTTTTGTTGCATGTAGTACTGTTGCTGATGAGCAGTAGAGGATGGAGGAAAGATGAGGAACTAGAGCTTGGAAAGTTACTTTGAAGTCGCAGAATACCATCCTCCCTCTGTTATGTTATGAACAAGCCTCAGCATTGTCATGATATTCATTCTTATTAAAAGCAACTTTCCATCCTCTGGAAGAACCTGGCTGATGAGCAGTAGAGGATGGAGGAAAGATCAGGAACTGGAGCTTGAAAGTTACTTTGAAGTCACAGAATACCATCCTCCCTCTGTTATGTCATGGACAAGCCTCAGCATTGTCATGATACTCATTCTTATTAAAAGCAACTTTCCAACCTCTGGAAGAACCTGATATTTCTGGGAGGCAAAAGGTGATACTGGATACTGGCAGAAGGTTCATTCCCTAGTGTCTTCACTTAAAACAATCTGAGACAGTAGTATACTACTATTTTTTTACAAAGAAATAGTAAAAGAAGTAAACGAATAGTAGTAGGCTCAATAAACAAAATTGACTTTTATAGGGTAACTTCATATGTTGATATAAAAGATCAAAAGTCCAGTTGGTAAGGGACTGTGTGTTATTGATCATTTATCAAATCTGGAAAGGCAGAAAAGGAAAGGTTTCACCAAACAAGTTACTTGGAATTATTTTTCTTGTACCCAGAAACTTGAGTGCCACGGAAACAAGGAGTTGGATACACTTTTCACCAAGGAGCCTTTGCAGTCTGTTAGTCCTGGGTCCCTCGTCCTGAAAACGCCTCCGTGCTTTAAGAAAGAGCAGCCAATCTTACATGGCAGTGACTGCATTCGAACAGTAGAGGGCTCCAATGCAGCAGACAATCGGTACAGCGAATACATGGAAGAACTCTCTAAAGCTGAGCCCAATGTTGTCACTCTGGAGTATGGAGTAGCAAAAATGACATGTTGAGTATCACATAGCGCATTGTGGGCTGGAAAGACAGAAGTTCAAGACGAAAGGGCATTATGAGACTGGTCTCCTGGAGCATGAACCCCCCCCAAAAAAAAGAGTAATGGAAAGCCTCCTTAATGTAGACAAGAACTACACATTGGTTTTTTTTAAAAGGCGTACTGTGGGGAGTAATTGAATTTAAGAGTATCAGAAGAATTGTGGCAAATTTAGTAAACCTTCTGTGGCTTGAATGGAGCGGTTTAACTAGGATAGTATAACATATGACAGTTTGCACTAGATAACTCAGAATGTTCTTTAATGTGTTGATTGCCAAATGGCTAATGGCCTCTGAAGAGATGCTTCTCACACTAAATAGGCTATTTATTGGGACTGTTGAATGTAAATATATGTTTGTGCGTATACAGTGTATGTGTACTGCTATTTAATCTGATGCTTGTTACTAAATTTATGATAACTCAGTTGCCATTGAAAGTACTGTATATTATACTAGAAAGTGCTATTCTTAACAATTTTCAGCCTGCAATACCTCAGAGAATGCACAGGGACTTCTTGAAATTTGTTTCCATCAGAATAATACAATTAGATTTAAGATCTAAGTGGGAGATGCTTAGTAGTTTTTGCCTATGGACATATTTGTTTGCATCAGTAGCTATAGAATGCCAGATCCTTTTCTTTAAATGTCCTTTTATAATAATCTGAAAAATTGGTTGGCTACACTGTTAATGGATTGAAACTGCACCCATGAGGCTGTGCATTTTCTGCATACTTCTTCCCTGGCTAGCTGAAAGTGGTAAGAGGAGATTTGTAATCTTTGTGTACCTGTAGACTGTGTATGTGTTTTCCTTTCAATTAGAACAAAACCGGTAGTAAGCAAAGTCTTTGTTTCAAATTGGTTATGCTTTTGGATATTCCACGTATTTGGCAGCTGCCTACAAACCAATTTAGGTAATCAAAGAAAAATACAATTTTGGGAGCAGCACCTATTCTTCACTGCACTGGTGGCTAGGTGTATGATTTTTATTCCTTTTGATGATCTGTTTTTAAAACAAGCAGCTTTGGTTTTTTTCTCTTTGAAAAGATGCCACTCTTAATCAGTAGGCATGCTGCATTAGCAAAATTTGTGAACAGTTGCCCTCAGATAACAGAGTGAGCAGCTTCTCTTGCTTGAGAACTGAGGGAGAAAAGACACCAAGTTTACAGGCCAGCTGGCTCTAGTCTGTCTAAAGCCACTTGCTTTAAAAGCTTGTTAATGATCACATCTTCAACATGCAGTTATACTACCTGGGATTGAAATGATCTCTAGTTAACAAGATGACTTTGATTAGGAGGGTTATGTTGTATATCTCATATAGGTAAATCAAATGTGTTCCCAGCATGGTTGTTTCTTGGTGATCAGAATAGAGATTGGATTTGCTTTCAGTCCATGATCCTCCTCTGTTGGCTTTTCCTAATTTGTTTTTACGGTCCAAATGAAAGAAAAGAAATGAGCTTTGAGAGCTGAGGTTATAAACATGTACGCCTTGCGGTATACAGCCCCCTGGGTGGTAGAGTAGGTTGATTTGTACCTGAGGGATCAAATGCTTCTTTGGCTCAAAGTGAAAATTAGTTTAGACTCGCTTTAATCCCTGAAGGCTGTTTGTTCAAAACTGGCCACACGGCACACAACAAAACGTGACACAGAGTTGGTTGTGTTTCCCTTGCCCCAAGTGGGGATCCTGCTGTTCATAAACGGGAGCAATACAGGTCATTCCACAAGTTTTTCATTGTGATGTGTTAACAGAAGGAAGAAGTTGAAGGCGTGTATTCTTCAGCATTGTCTTAATGATGTTTTTGCCAATGGTGGGTGAGAGGAGAAAGGTAATTCCAGCATTTCGTGTAATAAATCCTATATCAACTGTATAATCCTGCATCAACTGTATATTCTTGCATTTCCTGCCATTTTAAACAAGGTGCGAATTTTGCATTGACATTGATTTTGAGGGAAATATGCAGCTAGAGAAATCTGTGCCTTTTGCTTGTTTCTCCTAGTTTTCTGCTGTGGGTCGGTATGTTACTTAAAACACTGAAAATACAAGGCTAAATGTGGTTTCACTGTTTTGTGTGCATTTTTAATACCTATAAAAATAACCTGTATATAAGGCCTCTTGTAGGCCTACAGAATTAATGTCTTATACTAATCCTTGCATAATGGGGGAGAAAGCATTCTTGTTATGAATGTTCCAGGAAAAATATATTTGATGTTAAATGTATTACCTGAAGTTATATCTTTGGTTTGTTTGTTTATTTAAGCATTTAGTTGCTACAGGGCATCATGGGTTTATCAGAACTGTGGTACATGGGGAGATTTAACCCCTTCCTCCCTGTCTGCAGTCCTGTCAGAAAATACATAGCTACTGTTAGCTTTAGCAAGAAAGCTCTCATTGACACCAAGGTGAACCTCCTTTTTCTTTAGGCTAATGCCAATTAACAGGGTAAACCATTTTTATCGTGACTGCAGTTTGGGAGAAGTTGATTAAGCCACCCATTCCGGTTCACTACAATCCTAAGAAAAACTCCCTGATCCCTGGTGTAAAAATAAAACAACATGATTTCAGAAGATACAAGATAATGTTACATCCACTAGAATCCTCAGTCCTTCTGTAGAATCACTGCCATAACTTTGACTCCTCATATAAAACACAACTATTGACTGATGAGATCCATGTGAGCTTGAGAAGTACATTGTTGGAACAGTAGGGAACTTGTGTGTTTCTGTCTCCAGATTTTTAACATGATTGAGGTTGCACTACACTGAAATCAGTTGCAGATAGTGCATTTTAGTCTGAACATACTCCTTTTCTGCTTCTTTTATTATTATGACACAGAAATATATGAAGCATGTGGGAGAAGAAAAAGACTTATGGCCGCATCATCTGTTGACTTATGGGACATACATTTATTTTTAATTGTTATAATCCTGTCTCACCTTTCCTCCAATGAGCTCCTCTCTTTATTTTCACAACAGTCCTGAGAAGTAGGTCAGTCAGAGAGAGTGTAACTGGCCCAATGTTGTCCAGTGAGTTTCATGGCCAAGCAGGGATTTGAAACTAAGTTTTCAAGTCCTAGTCCACCACTTTAACCCAGTCATTGCTGTGACTTGCAAGTTACAAAACTAAAATCAGACTGGATAACTCATAATAATTGAAACTCTTGTGTCTCCCTTCACTCTGGGTGTAATATCAGTTTTATTTTAAGCTGCCATGCTTAAAATGGACCTATGACTCTCTTCTCAAAAAGTTTAACCCCATTTTTGATTTCTTGTCTTAAACCCAGATTTTGTACCATCTTTGCTTGATGAAGAATTCTAGAGAAATTGGAAGTTTGCCTTATTTTTAACTAACGACTAAACACACACACACACACACAACAACACACTCTAGAACTTTGATACTCAAGAGCTGAATTCTACACAGGAATTGCAGCAAGCTTTGCAGCATGCAAAACTATTAAATGCCTGCAGCCATTATATTTCATTTTTGACTAAAGCAGTACTTTATATACTGTACTACCAGTGGTTCAAATTTCTCTTACATATACCTGGCGGGATATCTTAAAGACGTTGTGTTAGTAGCTATTTACAGATTCAAGGAATAAGCATGTGTGGCTACATATTCAATATGTAGAGATGATGGCCGTAGAACATGGTGTTTTATATCCACTCCCATTCAATATGTAGAGATGATGGCCGTAGAATCATGGTGTTTTATATCCACTCCCTGCAGAAATGCTTCTGTTCAGGGTTCCAGCTTGTCTGCCATGCCTTCTTCAAGGATGCCACATTCTACTGAAGCAAGCACCACTATGTGTCAATCGGCCTAGAAGCTAATAACATAGTGTGTGTCATCCAGTCACATGTAAACAACTGGGAATTGGGGAGGAGACAACACTATCGTTAGGAGTGGGCCTTTTGTGTTTCAACAAAAGACCCAAAACACACAAGAGGGTCTCTTTCATGTAATTTGTGTTCTTTCAACCATTGCTGAAAGAGAGCTTCTAAACACAAATGATTCCATGTTAGAGATGGGGGTATTTGTATACGAATATCCCCCCACAGGTGCAGATAACGAAGGCCCATTCACAATGGACCGACCATTCACAATTCCACCGCTGCTATGGAACGAATATCCCCCCACAGGTGCAGATAATTCCACCACTGCTATGGGCTCCGTGATCCTTTCCTATCACTCCGGAGCTCATGATGAATTAGCCACTCCTGGCAGAAGGCGGAATGACAACCCTCTCTGCCAGGTCAGAGAGTGGCTAATCCATTGCAAGCTCCGGAGCGATAGGGAGGGAGTCTGGAGCTCACGGCCTAATCCATTGCGAGCTCCGGAGCGATAGGGAGGGAGTCTGGTGCTCACGGTGTCGGTGGAATTGTGAGTTATCTACACCTGTGGGGGGGGATATTCATATACAAATACCCCCCTCTCTAAGCCATGTTTACAAAAGAGGGATACAGACATTCATGTCTCTTCCGTGTTCCCACTTTTATGTAATCTTTCAGTGCCTTTTCATTCTGTCTTCTATCAGGGTTCCCCCCCTTCCAATAGTGGTACAAGGAAGGGCTTCAGCAGTCAATCAGAATGTTGAGGGGTTGAGGGCTGTTTCAGCTTTCCATATGGGATTACTGTATACTGAGCTCCTGGCGTCCTCCATCTTGAATTGCTGTTGTCTTTCTGCATGTGGTCCTCCATATTGAATCCTTACCTTTCTTGTTTTTTTTTCATGTTTTTATGTTTGTGAGGGGAGGTTTGCCTGCTAGTCTGTCCTCTTGGGATTATTGCTTGGATTCTATCCCCACCCCCTTGATTTCTTTTGGGAATTTTTCCTTCTTGGTGTGTTTGGTTTGGTTCCTCACGAGACAAGACTCCATTATGAATGTAGAGTCTTACCAGTCATCCAATATGGAATGTTCAGTCAGATGCATCCACCCTCATCAAGAGTAACGGCTGCCTCGGCCAATAACACCAACAGAGGAACTTCTGAAGGGCAGCTTGGACAGTATCAATAGCTGAAGGTGATTTTAACTTTTGGTAATACTATGCAAATGAAGACAATGGCAAACTATTATGAATTACATTTTTAAGAAGAACATCCTTGCTCACTTATCAGACTTCAATCCCTCATTTACATGTTGTTTCAAGTAGGTACCCCGTAAGTAACTGACTCAAGGGGAAGTCTTATTTCAGACTGAAGCATTGCATTGAAGTTTCTGGGTTCTACACCTACATTATGTGAAAAGTGTGCTTCTAATTTAATCTTTAACACAAAAATTAGCCTAAATATGGAATTGTATTTGGCTGGATTCATCATAATGATTAAACCACCTCTGCAGAAGCTCTGGTTCTTTCATTTTTTAAAAAATCATGCAGAAAGAAATCTAATTTTTAAAGTGTTCTCCCAGGTGCACATAGGTACTGTTCTAAAAGCCTTATGGGCAGGATTTAATTGCGTAGTAGGATTCTTTGTGTTTAATTGGAGTTTTCCATTTACATTCATTGAGTTCTGCAAGGCAGCTGCCAAATGGGCATAAGAGCAAATGCAGCAGAGCTCTGCTGAGCTTGTGCATTTTCCATACATATCCAATTACTAGTGACCTGAATCTAGAAATGCTGCAACCTAAAAGCATCTACCCACACAGAGAGGCAGGAACATCCCTACCATTGCAGAGCCTCAGCCTCCTTTGCAGTTTGAAACAAAAAGACTTTATTGTACGCTTCAAAGAGTAGGCTGGAATGTGAAAAGATCAGATCCTGTTCTTGCTTTAGCATGGAAGGAAGCCCTTCAGTGAATTGGCCCCGTGATATCTTCTTTTGCTGCGGTAATCTCCCCTTTCCCTAGCCAAAGACCTTTTCATTAGACTCCTGTTGTAATACAGCACATCTGGAAAGCACTGAGATAACACAATGCTCAGTCGTTGCTGTTATTATAAAAAGAAGCCTGTCCATCCACTCTCTGCTCAACAAGATTTCCCCAGCTGCTTTACCAAGACAGAGAAATAAGCTGGAATTGTAAGATCTAGGTACTGGCTTTTTAGAAACAACAACACAAATGGAGCCATTGAATACCTTCTGATTATCTTTTCTGGTGTTTCAACTCTTCTCCTCACTTAGTGTTTTGCTGTGCGATTGTGTATCTGTTTGAATATGCTATACGTAGTGTCTTCAGGAGCAGCTGCTTTCTACCCATCCACAGTACTGCAGGGTGCTGTTGATCTGATTTTTCTGGGCGTGGGGGGTAGAGCTTGGAAATGCTAGCTCATGTTAGTTGTGGGGTTTTGGATGTTGTAATCCAAAAAACAGCATTTCTCAGCTCTGTGACAGTGGAAAACCAAATTCTCCTGGAATGTTGCTCAGTAATAACAGAGTCCATATTTGTATGCCTTACTTACTTTCCCCACCTTTCTCCTTAAAAAGGACCCAAGGTGGTTTACATCATTAAGAGACAATACTAAAGCTAAAAATAAGTATGCAAAAAAAAAGAATCAAACAATACCAGTCTGAGAAACAGTAAACACAAGTAGCACTAAAGACTCAGTCAAATCAAGTAAAGCATAGCAATCCATCTAAAAATCACACTTGGGTAGCCAGTCACTGAGGGAAAGGTCTTTGCCTGCTTACCTTTGATGGGCAAAGTGTAGCTCCAGATGTCTTTTCTGGTGAAAAACAAAAGCTGGTTTTCTGTTCCTAGGGTCTCCAGGAGTGATGGTTTTGCAGTAAAATAGGGTTCAGAGAGTCCCCTGGACTGCAAGGAGAACAAACCTATCAATTCTAAAGAAAATTAACCCTGAGTGCTCACTGGAAGGACAGATCCTGAAGCTGAGGCTCCAGTACTTTGGCCATCTCATAAGAAGAGAAGACTCCCTGGAAAAGACACTGATGTTGGGAAAGTTGAAGGCAGGAGGAGAAGGAGACGACAGAGGACAAGATGGTTGGACAGTGTCATTGAAGCTATCAACATGACTTTGATCAAACTCCGGGAGGCAGTGGAAGACAGGAGGGCCTGGCGTGCTCTGATCCATGGGGTCACAAAGAGTCGGACACGACTAAACACCAACAATGGTTCAGAGCTCCCCAAACCCATACCCGGCCATCCAAGCAAACAAAAAAAAACTACAAGTAGACATCTAGGATGATTATGTTCTGATTTTTGCATACTTGTTATTTATCAAGTTTGGTGTTACCCCTCCCCTGGTCCTGGGGATGCGGGCAGATCCACATCTT